CTGGAGACGCTGTAGTACATATGCCGGGCCTGTAAGTGGCGCTGTACTTCCGCCAGAAAATACACCAAAAGCAGCGAAGAAGATTTACCAACCACAGTATTATGTGATACTTGAATAACTTTGGAGTGAAATTCACTTCCTGCATTCTTGAAGGTGATCTATTCTTCTCCCAGTATAACTGCCACAATAATTTGTCATTCAGTGATAAATAATAAATAAAACATTATTTAGCCTTTCATCAAAAACTGTTATCCTCACAATTTGACATGCTTGACATTTTCTTGCCTCATAAATATATTGAATGTAGCAATTGACTATGACTGATTCAGTTAAAAACACTAATTCTGTCTCCCGCTCTTTTGTCTGTCCCCCATGATGTCTCCTGTTTCTTTTGCAGTGTCATCATTGCCCCCTTCTCCCTGTCTCTTTCTCCCTCCCTCCTCATCATTATTTCCTGCCTTTTCTCTTTGAATAAAATTGTATTTATCCCTTGCTCTATCTTCTTAGCCCTCTGTTGGTCTCGCTGTTGCTCCCTGCTGACAAAAGCAGCAGGAATATCTTCTCAATAACATTTAATGATGTTTCCCATGAATATATTGGCAAAATATAAAATGTCTAATGACGACAGACACTAATCTTCCATTCTAAATGTTTTTATGTTGCCATATTATACATGGTAAATATCTAAAGTAACAGGCTCAAGGCTAATTGTAGCTAACCTGAGAAGAGGAGGAAAACATATGGGCTGACGGGTACAAACTGAACAAAATAGCACAAAATAATCAAAACATTGTATTTGCTTTGCATCACATTTAAGAACAAATTCAAGGTTCCAGGGCTGTGTTGTCAGGCATATACAAGCATTGGGGAGGTATTTTGTACTTCACTTCAGGCTTCAAAACTGGATGTGTCTTTTACATGTTTTCTTCTAATCCTTGGAACTATAAGTGCCTTTGGATTTGAGATCTGTAGACACTTTGGACACCCTTAAAGGTTATCTCAAGATCAATATCTTTGGACTTGGCTTTGTTCATATACCGTTATGCTATATCTGTCCAGGTCTTTAGATACGAAGCACTTTGTGACATCCACTCTCATTAGTTGCTATAAAAATAAACTTGACTTACTTAGAATCCAATATGTCAATATCTCGAACTTAACCCAACTTTACATTTGTTTTGCTTTTACCTGTAGTGCTTTTTATCAATGTTGATGGTTTTGTTGTGAATTTGCAATTGTTGGTTTTATAGGCCATAGAGAAGTCTCTTCCATAAGTAGATGCGGTCTTCCCTCGATCCAAATCTCCAACACTTTGCAACTCACACCAAAACAATCTGTCTATACAATCTAAATAACAATTATTGTAAGAGGAAATATATATATTTATGATTTTTGGGCTAAACTGTCTCATTAAACCTTTTCCACAAATAAAGTGTAAACAGGTTTCTGTCTTTAAGTAATATTAATGTTTTGCAGGGCTGGATACCAATACCCCTAATCTGGTGCGTCAGCGGTTATACTTGCATTTTCTTAGGACCTTCAAATAGCCTGTGAGCTTAACCTGTATCCTCAGCGAATCCTAATTCTAACGCAGTCTTAAACCTCTGACATCCCTTTGAAGATTGGCCAAAGGTCCTCACTTTGTAAATATACCTCAATCCGTAGCATTAACTTCTAAATTGGTCCTCAAATAGATAGCAGAACAAGAACACACTCACTCACTCACACACACGCACACGCACACGCACACACACACACACACACACACACACACACACACACACACACCTCTTCCTGTCTGGTGTTGCTTCCAGCCTAAAACCAAACCATGTGTGGGAGCTATCCTGTGCTAAACTGTATGCCCTACTGGTGCAAAGTCCCACAATAAAGCATCTATTTCAATGTTTTGGTTGATAATGTAATGTTTTTATCGTGGTGGGTTTTTTCTGCCTCTTCATCCCCTGTGGAGGCTTGTCATTTTGCCGCTGAGCATCATGTTTCTTCTAATGGCCACATGCAGCGATGTTCCTATAATTTGACACCAGTACAATCAGTCTGTTAAATACTAACCGGATTAGGAAGCGTTTTTGATTGCCTTACATTTTCCAACCAACATGATTTGATTCCAACCCAAATGCCATCAGTCAGGTCCATTACCCAGAGGATTTACATGCCGTCAAGTTGTCTCTCTTCTGACAACTACACATCACAACGGAAAGTCTACCACTGATTCAACACTGTCACAGGCTCATCAGTCAGGTGAAAACCTCACGTAAGACATGAAACAAATCACTTCTTATGAATGCTGTGCACTTTGGCAGGAAATCAGACACCCTGCTGGGATTCCGTTAAATTTAGAAGGCACTAACGAGGCAGATAGTTTCGACTTAAGTACAGACGCCTTTTCCCAAACTTGATTTGAGTGACAGAAATGCTGAAGCTGTGATGAATTTTGACTCAAACTGACACATTTGTTCCTGATGGAAGATTTTCTCTACTCTAATCCTTTTGATAACTAAGATGATAACTGCCAATCAAAGAGAAGGCAGACACAGGTTCCCAGTCAGTTTTATTCCCCAGAGATTTGCGGTAATCAAACCTCAGAGACATATTACAGCTGCTGCATGTCATTCATTAATAGCATGATGACGTGACATTTCAAGCCCTAAAATAATAATTAGTCATGTCACAGTGTGACCGAAAGACTGAAGTTGGGACGTTATTCAAATCAGCCTTTAAATGAGCTGTTGTGCCATTCATTCACTTGAAGATAAGTTAGAGTAGTAGTTAAAAACCATAACTCCAGCAGAATTGTTTCAAATCACTCTTCTGTAATTTAATTCCTCATTGAATCATTTTTATAATACAGGAAAGCTATGTATTGTACCTAAAACTAACAGCTCAATGATGATCATCCTGATCACCTGTCCAACAGCACAAGACATCGTTTTTATTTTTTTTAATGACTAAACCGGATTCCAACCGCATGTTCTTTTTGTTTGTTTATGACATTGTGCTGTGACGTCCTACCATCTGAGCTTTAGAAAAAAACTCAATCCAGTGAATATCACACAATAAATACAGCTCTTAAAGGCTTTTTAGATAATTATTCTCATTTTGATTGGGACTGTTAACACATATGTGAACATTGTATCTTAGTACAGTGAACTATACTAAACGCTGAATGCATGAAGATGCAGGTACGATTCTCCCATAAAGATGTTGGTAGAGTTCTCTGTGTTAAAGGTGGGGTAGGTAATATTGGAGGAACCAGCTTGAGTGCGCTAGAATTTGAAAATACACAACCGGAGAAAATCTGCCACTTCCTTACAGACTTCTTTACAGAGCCCCTCCTCCAACACACACCAACGCGCACATGACCAATGAGGGCACGAGATAAGTTTGCGCACAGATGGAAGGCTGACAGGCAGGTAGGCCATCCAGTTATTTTAGCCGGGCCGACTAAAATGATTGGCGTGCTTTTTACAGCGCTACGGCTTCCAGAGATGAATTTTTTTAATGTATTTTTTGTCAAAGCACTTCAGATATTCATTGCTATCGGGATGTTAAGAGCATTCCATGGAATATAACAAAAAGTGTTTCTGAAATAAATGTCATACCCATTGAATTATGACTGAAGATCGTCAGCTGTCATCCTCTTCCGTTTTCTCCTCGATACGTAAAGG